GTTTCCCCAGCAGCCAGCAGCCTTCAGTGCTTTGCAGCCATGTGGCCGAGGGGTGGGGATGCCACTGTGCCCATCCACCTTGCTGCACAGGGATGGCTTAGGTGGAGGGCAGGCCATTCCTCCTCCCCATGTCTCACTCACTCCAAGGGCTGCACTGCACCCAGCATAGCCACCAACACTGGCTCGCTCCCCTCCACTCTCAGCTCCGGCCAGTGATGCCCGTGTGTCCTCTTGCGGATAAGCTGTCCTCAGCTCTTTGTCCCAGTCACCCATTCTTCCTGATTCTGTCACTCCCACCCTGATCTGGACAACGTGCCCACCTCCCCGTTGTCCTCTGTCCACCCTTCTGTCCTGAACTAGCTGCCTGGTGATGCTTCTCTCTCTCTCTGTGCAGTGTTACTCCCCTTTGGTGTTGCCCCCCACCCCCGCCTGCAGAGTGAACCCCACGCACCCCGGTCTAGCAGGAGGGCACTACCCGGTGGCTCTCGAGCCCTGTGTCTTTTCCCTTCGACTCCTTCCTGCAGCCCTGGCACCACCTGCAATCCCTTCTGGCTCATCGGCCCCATCTTCCACTCACACAGCCTAACCATCTGGTTCTTCTTTCAAAGCCAAGCATGGCACACCCTCCTCCGGGCAGTCTTCCCCGACTGCTCAGTACTAATCCCCTCGTGCTTATGGTCTGTGGCCCTCTTCTCCTCAAGCCTGTGCCTCCCCTGCCCTGCGACCTCAGGTCTAAGTTGGGGTGGGGAGGGGAAGGGCGTGACTCACAGCCTCCAGCTCCTGGTTCCTGGCACGGAAGCGCTCCCTCTGGCTGGAGATGATGGACAGCAGGGAGCCTACCTGGCCCTCGGGGAGGGGGCCACTGGCTGGTGTGGAAGGTCCTAAGAGGCAGATGGTGAGGCCAGTGGCTTGGGATGGCAGGAGGCAGAGCCCCTCAGGTCAGGCCCCAACCCCGAGGGGTGCCGTGGGGTGGAAGTCACAAGGGTGTGTGACTACTTGGAGCTGAGCAGGGTGGGGCGGGGACTGGGCCAGGGGAACCCGGCAGGCGTGAGGCCATAAGGAAGGGAGGACCCCAGGCAGGCTCCGACACTGTTCCAGCTCACCTGCGCGCACCATCTGAGGGGCCACTAAGCCCTTCTCTCCACACTCTGCACTTGGATCTGGGACCCCACCCCCAAGGAAGCAAAGGGATGCTGAGGGGCCTGGGAAACCATTGGTACAGTCCCTACTCTCATGTCCTGGCCCAGGAGCTCCAAGTTCCGGCCTCACCACCTGACAAGGCCACCTCCCTCTGGCACTGCAGGGCTCTGTGGCCTCAATTCTTTCCCCAGAGAGAGCAGGGCTGACGGGGCTGACCAGGACCCAAGGGTGGATATCAAGCCAAGGCCCAGAGTGGCAGGGGGGGCTCACCCCCTCTCTTGGGCTGCTGCCCTGGACCCGCGGTTGCTGTGGCATGCTGGAGCGGGGGGCTAGCCCTGGAAGGGGCTTGGGGCTCAGGGTCCGGGCTCCCCTCCACGCCTTGCCTGTCACTCCCTGGACGGGGTCAGGGCTCACGTCTCCCTCACCATAGAACAGGGCGGTGGCCTCCTTGACGGGCTCTGGGATCTTCTCCAGGCTGTGCTCAGCTGCACCCTGCAGAGGAAGGGGTGCAGGAGGGGGGCTGGCTGGGGGTGGTGGGGCCTGGGCCCAGCGGTGCTACGAAGGGCAGGGAGCTGGATGGCCCGCCACAACAGAGGACCAGGCTGGGCCAGGGTCTTACTCCCGAGGTCACTCGGCCCTGACACACCTCAGGAGGCCTGTGGACCCCAGCTCGGCAGCCAGGCTGCCGCGGGACAGGCAGGCCGGCTTCTCTTCCTGAGCCCATTTCCTCATCTATGAAATGAACCATGAGGTGACGGGAGGGTGCTGAGGGCCCTCTAGGCATGAGCTTTCTGTGGTCTCAGGCTTCACATCCACAACCATGATAACCCTGCCGGGCCTGATCGGGGGCTGCAGGGCCGAGGCCCAAAGCACGGCCTGCACCTGGTGGTGGGGGGCGGGTCGGGGAGGTCTTGCTGCCAGCTTGACAAGGCCTGCCCCTCTGTCCTGTGGCCGGGCATCCGGAATTGAGGGTGGTGGAGTGAGTGGGCGGAGCCCAGAGGATGGCAGGCAGCCCTCTGGGCCTTCCTTGAGGAGGGGCAGGTGACACCAGCATCCCTGGGAAGGCTGCTGAAGGGGCACTGGGGGTGGGGCGGGCGGGGGCTCACCTCGGCGTCCGGTCGCTGGATGGACTGCACGGTGCTGAGGTCCTGCTCCAAGCGGGCGATCAGCTCCTTCTGTTCGGCCGCCGTGGCCACCGCCGCGGTGACATGGACCTGCAGTTCCGCACAACGCCCTGTGGCCAAAGGAAGACGTGGCCATCAGAGGCGCCTTCCCTCACTCTCTGCATCTCCCACCCGCTCTGTAAGCAGGACAGCATCCCGGCCGAGAGCTCCGGCTGCCCGCCCCGCCATGGACCACCATCGGACCCAGCCACCGGGGGCTCTGGGCACTGTCTGTGTTCCTGAAGTACAGCCAGGGAGGACCCTTCCCTCTTCAATCCCTGTCAAGCAGGATTGGGGATTTGAACCCAATGGGCCCCAAGTTTTCTCCTAGTGCTGTTGGCCTTGGGGAAGGAGTGGCAGGAGAAGGTGTGAGAGGGGTCGCCAGGAGGTGGCCCTCCATCAGACCCAAGGCGGGGTGAGGGTCCCCCATCTGAAGCTGACACCAGCCTTGCTTGGGCCCCTCTCTCAACTTTCTGCACACTGCACCCCAGCCACGAGGTGGTGGCAGTGGTGCGGGGGGGTGACCCCCAGTGCTGCCCTCTCTGCCCCATTGTTTTTGACAACAGAGCAAGTTCACAGTGATTCTGTTTGGAGACTTTCCTGCCCTTGTGGATGGGGGAGATGTTGGGGAAATCCTAAGGTCAGGGGCAGGCCCCTTGGGACCTTCACGGCCACTGCGGAGAGGGCAGGAGTACCAGGCAAAGCCACGCTCATGGTCTGGCTCTACTTCTGGTAGGCTGTGTGACTCTGGGTGGCCACCCTGCGTGTCCAGGACTCATTTCTCAACTGGTGACCACAGGGCCTGCCTGCTCTGGGGTCAGAGAGAATGGCGGTTGAGCTGCACAGGGTAGACGGCGAAGCCACCAGGGGGCACTGCGGCCTCAGAAGTGCCCAAAGGCTGCGGGCTGGGCTTGGGGAAGAGGCCTTTGTGTTCCTCCCACAGTCACCACCAGGCAGCCTGCCCCACCAGCCTGCCTGGGCTCGGCGCCCTGAGCCAGGGCAGGGGCAACCCTGCCTCACACTTGCCCATTCCATCTCCTGGGTGCCGGCTGCGTGCCAGGCCCTCCCATAGCTCCAAGCCTCATCAGTCAGAAAGGGTGATGTCCACGCTACAGATGAAGAGCTGAGGCTGCGAGAGGGATGGAGGCTTTGTTCACCGCCACACAGCCAGGATCCCACCAGGCCTGGGATCAAACACAGGGTGTTCACCCCCAGCTACGTCCATGTCCTTCCCCTGCCCCAGGGGCTTGGCTCCTTCAGGCCATTTGCCTCGGTGGCTCTGAAGGGCTTCATTCGATAGGCCTCTCCTTCATACCAGGCAGGCAGGTGGAGTCCGTAAGTCTGTAAGGGGTCTGAGGTAGGAGTGGTGGCAGCGGTCGGAGGGCAGGGCCAGGCCGTGGAGGGAGTGTGCTGGGTTCAGAGCTGGGGTCTGGCGTGGCCTCTGCAGGCTTTAAGCACAGTCCCCTGTGGTGGGGAGGAGCCCAGGGAAGAAGGGAGGATTCTATTCTGAGTCTCAGGGGCAGGCAACAAACGCCACGTTTGCTGGCCTGGGCATGGAGTCCTGGGTCTCAGGCTGGTGGGCTTGGCTGGAGAGCAGAGCCGACTGGTATACCATCAGCTTAGCAGGGAGGTGGACGCAGTCTAGAAGGGAAGGTCCTGGACCAAGGGAGGGCCCCTGGGCATCCATAAGAGGAGCCTGCCTCCAAATGGTGCAGGGACCAATGATGGGGGGTGGGGGCGGACACCCCAGGACCAGTGGCAGGTGTTGAGCCAGAGAATGTAGGCTCAGGTGGGCAGCACCCCACCTTCCAGGCTGAGGGCCCAGGGCATAGGACAGATAGAGCTAGGGTGGGGTGCCTCTGGAGAGTGGGTCCTTGTTCTTGGGGGTACACAAGCAGCATGTAGAGAAAGGACCAGCACACTACATGAAACACCAGACAGGCAACCTAGCCACCAGTGCAAGGCCACCCCTGGCACGGTCTTTAGGGTAGGAGTGACTTACAGCTCCCTGAGGCCATCTGTGGGCACAGGGGAGTCAAGGGGCTGCCGAGCTGGGCTTCCTTTGTGGTGTGTCTTTGTGGCCCTGTATGTGGGGACCCTGATGGATGACAGACCCACACTCACCCAGCCAGGGCCCAGTCCCCCTGCTGGGGCCAGTTTCTTACGCTGGGCCAGACTGTTGGGGAGCCGCTGAGCATGGGGGAGGCTGACTTGAAGGTGGCTCTGGGTGACACTGAGGGCTGGCCAGTATGGCCTTGCAGCAGGAACAGAGGCACAGCGGAGAGGCTGAGCAGAGGCGGGTGGTGGAGGTCCGGGTACGGGTGTACGTGGGGGAGCTCAGGCTGCAGAGGCAGGGCCTCAGACACTGTCTGGGGGATCCGACCCACCTGGGTCCCAGCCACGCCCAGAGTTGTGCTTTGGAACCTCACCCAGATGATGAGAAGGTCGAGAGACGGTACTTATATTCCCGGGGATGGTAGGTGGGAGGGAAGAGTGCCTCAATTATAGGGCCCCCTCAGAGATGACGAGGCCCACAGGGACGAGGTCCCAGAGGCACCCAAGCCTGCCACGTGAGGGTCCCCAGGCCACCACCTCCCTGCTGCCCTCTGCCTCCTCTCCTGGAAGAAGGAACACGCAGTCAAGGAACACAGGGTCACATCTCTGGAGGCCACTTAGTGTTAAGGGAGGCGCCTGAGCTGCGAGTCCTCGCTGCGGTTCTAGCCTTGCCTTTTAGGAATTTTGTGACCGTGGGCGAAACTCCTGACTGCTCCCAGTCCGGTCTGTAAAATGGAGCTAAGAGGCTCTGGGAGAGGTTGACTCAGCTACTGGGCGGTGGCTGAGCAGGACTGCGCCCCTGAGGAAACCCGGCCCCTTGCAGGGAATGAGGGGCTGGACACCCTGAATGACTCCGCGTAACAAGGATGCAAAAGTGCAGCAGCCCCAGCGCAAAGGCCTAGAACTCTGGACAGGAAACGGGCCCGGCTGTGATCAAGGCGCAGGGGTCAGGGTCAGCAGAACTCAGCCCACAGGAGAGGTGAGCCAGAGCTGAGGGCCCCCCACTGCTCAGCCGGCTGCAACTGGGTGTCCGAGCCACTGCCAGTACTCTTCGTTTCACTGGCCTGGATACACTTTGGAGTTTACGGTTCCGCGAAGCGCCAAGGAGTCCGCCCTGCAGAGCGGGCTTTGCTTTACGGAGTTGCCACTGCTCCCCACCCCACTCTCCTGGACCTCCCCACGGCCAGTCCAGCCTCAGGCCTAGCCTGGGGGCCTGCAGTCTTCAGACCTGGGCACCCCACCCGATAGAGAGAGGCATGGACAAAGACCTGGGGGGGACAAAGCCTTAGCGATTCTCTGGGGCTCAGGACCCCACCATGGACATGCTGAGGTGACAGGGGAGCGTGGCCACAGATGTTGCCCAGTCACGCCCAGAAATTGCGGAAAGGCTCTTGCTATGTTCTGGAGGCATCTGGAAATTAAGAGCTACTTTTACTGAGTAAGCAACTGTGTGTGGCAGACGTCATGCCGGGCACTGAAGATGGCGAGATGATTTCCCAGCCCTGGTCTTTGCTCGGGGGTGGGGGTGCTGCCTGTAGGCCCTGGAGGGGTCAGGTCCACGTGGGGACATGGTTGTTGTTGCTAGGATTTTGAGTCGGTTCCAATTCACAGTGACCTTGCACACAACAGAATGAGACATGCCCAGTCCTGTGCCAGCCTCACAACTGCTGCCATGTGTGGGCCCGTCGTTGCAGCCACTGTGTCAGTCCAACTCACGGAGGGCCTTCCCCTTTCTCACTGACCTGCCACCTTACCAAGCATGACATCCTTCTCCAGGAAATGGTCCCTTCTGCCCACATGACCAAAGTAGGTGAGACCAGGTCTGGCCATTCTCACTTCTCAGGAGCATCCCGGCTGCACTTCCTCTAAGACAGATTCGTTTGTTCTTCTGGCAGTCCAGGGTATAGCCAATAATCCTCGCCAACACTATAATTCAAATGTAGCAGTTCTTCTTTGGTCTTCTTTATTCATTATACAGCTTTCCCACGCATATGAGGCGATTGAAAATACTATGGCTTGGGTCAGGTACACCTCAGTCTTCAAAGTAACTTCTTTGCTCAGTGCAATACACCCTTTGATTTCTTAACCGCTGCTCCCATGGGCGTTGACTGTGGATCCAAGTAAAATGAAATGCTTGACAACTTCAATCGCTTCTCCATTTATCGTGATGTTGCTTATTGCATAATAATTATATAATAATAATAATAATAAGTATTATGATGACGATTTTTGTTTTCTTTATGTTGAGGTACAATCCATACCGAAGGCTGTAGGCTCTGATCTTCTTTTGTAAGTGTCTTAAGTCTTCTTTACTTTCAGCAAGCGAGGTTGTGTCATTGCATAGCTCAAGCTGTTAACGAGTCTTCCTGCAATGATGACTCCACGTTCTTCTTCACATAGTCCAGCTTCTCAGATTATCTGCTCAGCACGCAGACTGAATAAATCTGGTGAAAGGCTACATCCCTGATGCACATCTTTCCTGATTTTAATTCCCCTGTTCTGTTTGAATGACTGCCTCTTGGTCGTTAGCACAATTAAGTGTTCTGGAATTCCCATTCTTCCCAATATCATCCATAATTTATTATAAGCCACAAGCTGAATGCCTTTGCAAAGTCAATAAAACACAGGAAAACATCTTTCTGGTAGTCTTTGTTTTCAGTGAAGATCCATATGGTAGCGCAACACAACGCAACTACTGTGGAGTCGGACCCGACTCATAGCGACCCCTCCTTGGGTTTCTGAGGCAGTATCACTACAGAAGTAGATTGCCCCATCTTACTTCCGAGGAGTGGTTGGTGGGTTTGAA